GGTGATTAGGGTTGAAGTCTATAATTCATTCTTGTTTTGTTATGGAAGATTAAGAAATGGTATGAAGAAGAAGAAAGTTGGTAGAATAAGATATTCATCAAATCATTATAAGTAATGGTATTTCTGTTACACGAAATAATAATTATTTAGTAGAGATAAAAATATTTAATTGACTAATGACAAATTTCCACCACCCTTTTCTTTTTAACTGAGAAATTGAGAAATCTTCACAGTGAAATCTATTGCCAATATGTATAAATATATGTTTAGAAATATCTTAGATATATGTATAAAGTCACATTACATTTATATTTTAATTAACACAGTTGTTATTATACATAAATATAAACCTAAAAGTAAAAAAATATGTATATGTAGATGAGAAAAAAAAAATTATAACCATTTATTGATATTTTATTAGTGAATTTAATTATTAAAAATAATAATAATAATAGAAATATAATATAATGCTAATATATCTTTATAACACAATATCAACATGTATTTTTTTGAAAATATAATTCTCGAATAAAAAAGGGTTCTAATTCGGGACCCACATCGACCAGACAGTGCTGTGCAGTATTGAAGAGGATATGGCTATGGCATTTTTTTTTTAATAAACGATCAGCTGCTATTCCCAGTCGTGACAGAAAAGAAAAGCCAGCTCCTTGAATTCTGCGTTTCATGGTTTCATCAATGTCAACGACGGCGATTCGCCCAGGAAGGAAATGGGAAATCCCCCCTTCTCAATCAGATTGACAATTTTCCTCTCTCTCTCCTTCTCCCTCGCTGCTTCATCTTCTTCAACCTTATTCTTCTTCAAACCTCCTTCTTCTTCTCTCTCTCTTCCTCCATTAAACTCGCAGGCTCCAGTTCCAAAAGCTACTGCCCTTGATTTGCTTTCTGTACTGGGACCCGCCTCCCAGTCCTCCGCAGTTAACCCTCTGGTTGCCCAGGAACTCAAGTCCTGCTTCAAGTTCCTCGTGCCCTTTTCTCCTGACAAACCCAAGACGGGATTTTCTGGGAGACGGAGCTTGTGGGTCGTCGACGGTAAGGGCCGGAAAGAGGGGAATGAGCTCGTTTGGTGGCCGCCGGAGCCGGTTCTCGAGCTGGCTAGACTTGCTGTTGACTCCGGCGGTAACCCGGATGCCATTCATCAGATTCTTGATCCCTCGGTGATTCCTGTGAGTTTACGTTAAGCTGTCCTCTCACTGATATACCGTTGCCTTATATTCATATATGTAATACAATATATCTAGTGTCTGTGTTGTATAGTTAATTTGATTGTTATCTTTTGTTGATAATTGGTGGCTAAGTATATTTCATTTAGTAATATAATAGGTTCCTGATGTTGAAGGATCAAAAGAAAATCGATGTCAACTTACTAGAACCCCATATGGAAGACGCTTCATAAGCGAGGTTTATATTATATTATTTAGTTCGTTATTTTAATTTTCATATTGATATTATGCCCGTTAACTCCTTTATCGATTTTGTTTTACATTAGAAAGTTATGAATTATTGTGAAATTGCAGGAGCTGAATTCCTACCTTGGATATTTGTTTGAACTTATTGTTGATCGAGGACCCTCAGTTGGATTAAATGTGTCTTTGAATCGTTATGATTTCTTTCATGGTCACCTGTTTGTCTCCCAAGAAACTGGAAGGCTTGGTATACTGTAAGTTCAAATCTTTCTCATGATATCCACTGAATTCTTACATGGTGTAGAAAGATTCTGGATTTGAAATGTAATTGACACTAAAAACAAGGTTGTTTTATTTATGCTTTTTGTCGTCACAAGGTAACTCTTGAGTGCAGTGTAATTGAAACTATCTGTCTAATAGGATTATATCTGTAAGAAATAAGTCACAATAATGCATCATAGTTTTTGGTATTCTAGATCGTTGAGTCAACATATAGAGGCATGCATCATTAATTTTCATACTCATATTCATGTATTTGAATATGAACGTCACCTATATATAAGGATGATGAAAAGTGAAACTGCATGGAAGAACAGCAACTTAAGAAATTTAAAAAATTCTCTAAATTTGGGAATCTAGCAGTAACATTGAGAGGAGTATTAATCAAACTCAGTTAAACCCCAGAGATAAAGTTGTTAAATCCCTTGAATAGCGGGAGGCTTCAACTATCCTCAAGGAGTGTGATCGGCCTCTTAGTCGCAACTTGATTTAAGTGATATAAAAGTATCAATATAAGGCTTGATGCAAGGTTTATGGTTTGACTCCTTTGTTCATTAGGAAGAGACAACCTGAGTTGCTATTATCAAACTTCACCTCTCTGTTCTGCTATTTGGTTATTTGATATGTGGAAACCTCTGCTGGCTGCATTTTGTCTGTCCCGTCGCTGATGCTTCCTGTTGTTACCATTTTGGAAAGCGTTGGAACTTTACTGGTGTGTCTCAGAAAGGCCAAAAAGTTTGCCTAACAAATAAAAAATGTTTTGTCATATTCTTGTGTGTCTCGTTATCGAAATTATTGCTTTGATTTACTATCGCCTTAAGTTGTGTATGATGACTAAGTACAGTGAGTTAAATATATACTATTGGCGGTAGCTTGGAGAAATGAGTTCCACGTTCTCAACTTTATTGAGTACTTTAATGGATGAGGAAGGAAGAAGATTAGCTAACTTTAAATCTTCCTAGTTCTTGGTAAATGTAGAGTGTGAATGATGGGAGACTTATCACAGGATTCACCTCATATCTGTTTGCTGTTCATATGGGACCCGTGCCTTTCTTTTATATTATAAATAGATAAGATTATCTGATTAGCAGAAATACTTTGCCCTTCAGTTTTTGTTTCACATAATTTTAACAAACCTATTGTATTGCTACACATTGTGAGCTTCAATGTTTACCAAAATGGCAGGTTCCATGCTAAAGAATACCCAGCATATGATGATAAAGTGTTTCCATACAATATGGGCTTCTGCCAGAAGGGTAAAGTTTTTCTTGTTCAATGGTTCCTTTTGTTGTGATTAGTTTCAAGTTTCATTTTTTATTGCATTAATTGGGTGCAGAAGCTTTGATTACGGATAATAGTCTTTAGTTCTTTATAATTTTCATTTCTGGAACAGGAAGTTAGTCGGGAATAATGAAACAAATTGAAAGAACATTCAGGACTGACATTAGAGACTTGAGAATCATAGATTATAATGTTAGTTTACATTCTCAAAAGCTGATGTCAGAACATTTTCGGATTTGAAGAAATCCTTAGCCCCAGCTGTGCTAAATCTGAAATTCAAGTTATGCCATCATATTAATTCTTCTCTTTCAGGATCTGATGTTAGGTATGACGATTCCATGAACTTGAGAAATATTCTTTGGCTTGCTCCATTGCCCGGTAACTCCAACAAAGGTTGGGTGGCACCAGGTACTGCAACTTCTAGGTGTATAAAGCAGGAAGCTGAAACTCTGGATTCTATATCCATTTATTATTTGCTGATAGTTTTCACTGTTTATTCAGTCATTTGGAGTATGTATAGTAAATATTCTCTTGTTCGTCTTTGAAGCAGCGACATGGGTTAGCTGATCCTTTCAATCACAACTAATGTTAATTCATCTTTGGTCTTTTATTGGAAAGGAGTCCTAGTTGTGCTGGATGCTCGTCCTGGAGGAATCATATATAGAGATATCATACCTGAGTATGTACGATTTGCAAGAACCATATACGAAGGTTTGGATTTCTTCTTGTCTTACTCTGTCATATTTCTGATCTCGCCCTTTTTCAAGCTTCTGTGGTTCATGGATATCCAAAGTAATTACGAGAAAACTTCATTGGTTTTGATCAGATGACTTGGGGGACGTAGTGGTTGACGTCAACTACTTGAATGTTGGAGATTCCAGGCCTGATTATCAGATTTTCATCTGCTGACACTTCTATCCAGGTAGGTACTGCTTGTCTCCATCTCGTTTTCCCTTTTTAGAATATCCTTTCTTTCCCACACATTATATTTTCGGAAATTACAAATGAATCCGGAGAATCTAAAATTTGCTCCAAATGTGTCTTTAATCTATTTAAAGTTGTTGTCTTCGTTTCTTTTCCTCCAGTCTCAGATCAAAAGGAGAGAAAGAAAAAGAGCTCCACTCATTTTCTCCATCTATCCTAACAATCAGTTTCCATTACTGTCAATGTCTGTCCGAACAAGCCGGTGGCAGGCATTGAACCGATCTTAATGTGCGATACATTTTTTTCTGGGATTTCATCTTTTGCGGAACTGTGCCTATTTCCATGATGGTTGCTGCTTTCATTCTTCTGGGTACGGGACTCGATTTAAAGAAGATTGGAGATGGATTTTTTTACTCTGATAAATTGCCCCTGCAATTGGCATTCTCTTCTTTGTATTTTCTTGAGTCCGTTGAATTAGTTCTTTGTGTGTTAAATTTAATCAAGGATGCAGATTTGTAATTATTATATATGTCATCAAAATTATTTCTATATTTATAAATTATAAATTAAATTCTATTTTTATATTTTAAATAATTAAATTATTATTTTCAATAAGGAAATAATCAATTTTTAATCCATAAATCTATAAGTTACATTTTTTAATTAAATTAATTTTATTATTTGTGGTAGTCGGATCCAAATTGGGTTGCAATCAAATAATCCATGCCCGAGTGGATGCTCCACGTGGCATCTGATGACCCATCTTCTATTATTTATGTGTTCCTATAGACCGTCGGATTTTATCCAAAATTGCCTGCGAGTTGCGCGCACTGCGCACCCAGCTCCCGTTAGCCGCCCCTCGAGTCTCTTCCTTAAAAAGTAAACCCTTCAGCGGTTTAGCATTCGCCTTCTTATTTCTCGCTCCTACACTCTCTGGACTTTGCAGAACAGGAGGAAAAGGAAAGTGATTCATCATATCAAATCTCTCTCTCTCTCTCTCTCTCTCTCTCTCTCTCTCTGTCGTGCATTTTGTAGATATAGGGATGCAATGGCGGTGCAGTGGATAGATAAGGGGAGATCTAAGAACAGGGCTCCGGCTATTGCAACTCCGGGGTCAGGGGAACCGCTTCC